ACATGGATCAACCAGCTCGATCAGTGATCTAATGTGTAAAACCGACACCTACTTCCCGATCTCATCTATTAAAGACGACACCGAACTTTCTTTACCGTGACAATACAATTGTAGATACCTAGCGCTATGCTTGTTGAGGATATGCCCGACTGAATCCCGAACGACAACACGCAAAAAAAGGCATGATATCGAATGATTTTACCACATAAGTTCGGAGGCACATCGAGTAATGGACAAACTTCACTCACACCGCGTAAACAAACACACACCACCCATATATGCTACAAACATATATGTTACGCACGCGCGTGAACGAACCATCGTGAGATAACACCCACCTACGCCTGTACCGTGCATCCCACAACCCCGCGCCCATCCCGCCGCCCAAAAACACTTGATATAAAGCGAAAGAATAATCAGAAACAAGGGAACCTCATGAAAGAACGACAGGTTTTCCATGCACGCGATATAATCTTGTTTGGGTCATCCCGAATGAGACTCAAACAGGACGAGTGGCCCTACACAAAATTAAATCCCATCCAATCTCTTTTCTTGCTCGCGTGCATCACTACCACCAACAACTTTGACAACAACAAAAAAACATACAACGAACGCACTTACGTTTGACATACGACGGACCAACTCCGGCGAGAAGAATACACACAACCAACAACTAATGACCCTTTTTTTTTTTCGTGCAATATAAAATATACTGATTTATCGAACGCACACACGTTCACGCGTACGGTACGGGTGAGAGAAGCGATTCAAGAATAGCCGAGAACAGCACCAAACCCACCGCACACGTTGCCAAACACCCAGACTTGACCCGCCGAACGTCGCTCACTCCGCTCCAACTCCGAACACACGCCTCCTGTCTTGCCTTCGCGGGTCACAGCTGCTAACTAAACTGCTCGCCTGGGAGCATTGTTCGAAACTTCCTACAGGGATAGCCAGCTCAAGGTGCCGGGAGGAAAACGCCTGCCCATTAGTGAGCATCCACTCTTATCCCCCTTTTTCCCGACCCCTGATTTTTACTGACACCACGGAGTATTTTCATTTTTTTTGCCCAGTATGTACGCCCCCCCCCCCCCCCTTTTACACACACACTGGCCATGGTAAGGCCCTCTGAAAAAAAAACGGGAAAATCTTGAGAAAGAAGGGGCAGGAAAAATACCTTCTTTGTTTTTTTTTACGCGAACTCTGCTTTTTCTACGCGAAGCGCTTCGCGACACACGCAAACAAACCCACTACACCACGCACACCCCATGTCGACCCGTCGAGATCCGAAGAAACGCCTCCGGCCTTGCTTGCCGCTACAGACCAAGACTCACGCTAGATTCGACACGACACGGCGCGACGCGCACCAAGAGGGGAAAAGAAACCAACAACGAGCAAGGAGCACGGAGAAGTGCATCACCCACGTACACACCGCGTACATATCTCACAGCAACACATGTTGGATCGATCTTCTCTGCGGTCACGTTGTACACCACAGCGTCCGCGTTACCTCGTTCTCTCCCAGCTGTTGCGTCTTGCCGCCTGGCCTAGGAGTAACTGCCTAAGAAAATGGCCACTTCGACCGGCCAAAACATGAAATTTCACCGACTGAGAACGAAGCTCTAGCGAACTTGCCCTCGTGCGCACACTCACCCTGTGTGCTGTTCGGATAAAATGCTTCCACGAAAAACAAAAAATAGCTACAAAGGATTTTTTCCGGCAAAAAGTCATTGGTTTTCTGAACTTCCTTTTTACCCTTGACGGCTAACGGCTACAAGACGCATGAAAAAAGGCACGACACTTGCTGTCAGATATGCCACACTGTTCAGCAAACAACGCCACGTCACGCAGACAAAGGCCACCAGAAAAACTCACATTCCCAACAGCAACAACTAACCGGGCGCGAAACTGCTTGCTGGGGACGCGCCCGGTAGAACAAACTAAAGGCAAAAATTAAAGGCAGCCTGCCGAACCTCAAAAAAATTGTATCCCTACCCCACCCCCCAAAAAAAGACGCCCATCCTCCTAAACTTGTTCGAATCATGCACGCGAGAGCAGAAACGCCAGACCCACAACACACTCGAGTGCACATGTGTGTGCCAAAAAAAAAAATCCGAAACACAACGGGGCGCCGAAAGAGGAGCGTGGTGGTTGGTGGGCAGGAGTTATCTTACCGCCTCTCCCGAGATCCATATTTCCGCGCAGGCACCCGGTGGTCTAGCAGGCGCGGCGCGGCGCCGTTCGTGTAACACACGCCAAGCCGGATGCGAATACGCAACACACACCAACAAATGGTAGTCAAATCGACAAAACGACCCAAAGAAGCCGGGAAACCGTCTTTCGCCCCGTCCGTTTCCCACACACGACGGTGGGGCAGCGCGCGGGGTGTCAACTAAGGCACCCGGCGGACGCGGCACAACCGGTTCGAACCAGCGCATATGCGTGGGTTATTTACCAGTCGCACACAGACAACACATCAACGCAGCAGAGGAAGAACACCGAATCTCAAAAAACGCCCAAAACGAAGCAAAACGACCGCGTATTCTACCTTGCGCTTGTCCCACACCGCCACCCCCTACAATACGGCGCCCACATCTGCCGCGGTAGTAGCACGGGTTATGTCGCCAGCAACACGCCCGCCGCCCAAAACCACCCATGCGGCGGCGCCCCAACTGCTCCCACAACTAACGCGCGCGCAGCACACACCAACAATCCGACAACAGGCAGGGCCTGCAAAAATCCGGTCCGCAACCCCGCCCCGTATAGGATGTGCGCCCTGCTCGCTCCCCGGTATGCAATACTGTAGGTCGCCCATCCCCATGCTTCAAGACGCCATCATCGAACGTAGTCGTCTTCCTAGACACAGGCCAGTCCTCAAAACGGTTGGTCCGACAACAGGAGGGAAAAGGAAGACAAACGAAACCAGGGAGAACAACCTCTATTCCACCTCGTTCATTGCACCTCCTTGTCGTCCTCCTCCTATACACGCCTTGGTGCAGTAGCAGCAGCAGGAGCAGCAGGAGCATTAGATTAACCGCCCCCCCTCCGTTCTTCCGATGCCGCGCGTCCTTCTCTTGACGAGCGGCGTGGGTGTTCGTCGCTGAGGATGAGGGGTTCCAACGCGGCACATGGCTCGGGCTTCTCAGCTCACAAGGAAATGGAACTGAGCAGGGTCTTGCTTCGGCTGTCCGCGTCGCCCACGGTCGACTTCGAACCCGCGTCTGAAGACGTCTGTCATCACAAGGCAGAGGGACCACGCAAAAAGAAGAAGCACGCGTGTACATGCACGTGTCAGCACGTCGAAACTCTCTTCATGTCTTAAAACACCCGAAGACATTATCTTTAGGCATCGACAAACAAGGTACTTGCGCTCTCTGCATCCCGCTGCGCCCATACGATCATCACTCCAATCACCCCAGCGCCCAAAGAGACCGCCGAGGAGCATCGAAACGGGCAAAGTCTGAAGCATGGTCCGGTTCTTCACCCGAGAATGGTGAAACGCCTCCCAAGACCCCAGGGTTAGCGTTGCAACCGGGCGACACGTCCTTATCATAATTCTTGGCGTAGAAAACGACGACAAGCGTGGTCTTCTTGGGTTCTCTGACCTAAGTCAAGCTCCTTCAACACTACTTGTGCCCATGAAGGAGCCGGAGGGACACACCACAAACCACAGTAGTCACGACAAACATAGACAACACGGCGTAGAGAAGCGAGCGGTTCACGTCTCACTCACCTCTTGGTCGTAGTCGTCGTCGTCGCAGTCCTCTTCCGGCACCTCCTCGGGGATGGAGTCGAAGCGCGTGCGTCGCAGGTAGCGGGTGCGGTCGTACCCGCCCCAACTTCCTCGGCGGGTCTTCGGCAGGGAGCGAAAGAACTTGCTGCCCCGAAGAATCACCATGCACTGCTGCTGCGGCTGCTGTAGCGGCGAACCGGGCATTGCACCACCCTGCTGCTGCTGCGGTTGCAGCAATTGCCCGGCCACGCCGCCGCCCCGCTTACTCCGCGAGATCAACACCGGAGACGATAGCCGCGTGGCGTCCATTCCCTGCCCCTTCCCCCCCGCCGCCGCCGTCGCCCTGTCCTGGTGCTGCTGCACGCTAGGACCGCGCCTGGTCGGGACGGCCCCAGGACCAAGATAGCTCAGAGGCTGCCGGCGGTTCGCCGGGGAGGTTCGGCCAACTGGAGAGCCGTTGGGGGAGGTGGGGGGCAGCATGACGTTGCTGTTGGTCTGGTGGTGGTTGTTGCTGGTGTTGGTGGCGGTGGAGCGAGCGACCAGGGAGCAGACCAGGCAGTAGCGCCCGCCAAGGGCCCTCTTACGGCTGATTTTCGGCGAAAGGGAGGGGGGGGGGTCCGATGCGAGAACCGGGTCAAGGAGGGGCCGGGGGGTGGGTTACTCGTACAGAGTTTTCAGCGGAACGGGGGCCGGGGACAACCTCACACATATCAAGACATGAGTAAACCTACAGGTGCCTGACAATGGTAAACAACCAGGCCGAAACAACACGAATGTATGTGACGAAATATACCACACCCCCTGGACCAATTTTCAAAAGCCAGTGACTTCACGGTGAACAAATCAAGCGGTACGTTAACGGAAACCATTTGGACGAGAAAGTTCCAACGCCGCCATTTTCGGCACCGCGCATCTCTCCACCTTCGAAAATCTGTCCACACGGGTGTATGAACATCTTTGACGCCTACTCTCAGGACGTTGCTATCAACCACTACTGAACTGCACCAGCGTGAGCGATCTTACTGCCTCGATTGGTGGTCATCGGCGTACAAAGTACTGTGTGTGAGCGTTGCCCGCCGTCTTCCACACCACCGTTACCGTCATGCAATGCTACAACCATCTCAGAATCCCAGTGTGCGTGACCAGAACGCGATGTGGCAAACAACTGCACAGTATGCCAGCATACACATATCAATGGATGGGGACGAGTTTGACGTTGGACTGCTGTACTTGTCTTTCTTTTCCAGACGACCCGTTCGGGCATTTACATCACGATGAAGGCGGCAGTGCGATATCGCAGGACAATCGAGGGGAAGAGGCCGGAGGTTGTGCCGCTATGTCTGCTTCTTGCAGCAGAGTGTTCCATGCCTGGCGACCTCTCGCGTGGAAAACCGCCGCAGGCTTCGGAACCGTGGCCGCTACACTCTTTGGTGCTGTAGACAGCGCCGTTGAACCCGAAGATACCGCGTGGAAGGTGTGCGTTGGGTTCGTCACGCTC